GAATGGTCTCAGGAGAAACCAACCCTGCTGACACCTTGATCTTGGACTTCCAGCCTCCAGAATTGAGAGAGAATAAGTTTCCTGTTGTCTGAGACACTCAGCGCATTGTACTTTGTTATAGCAGCCCTAGCAAATGAATAGTCGTGATCTGATTTTCATTAAACCTTGTCTCTTTGTTTTGCTGGGGATGGGCTGAGGGGCAGGAGTGGACCCAGGAGACCACGTAGGAGGCCCTGCAACAAGCCGGTGAGGACCAACTCACCTGGAGGCTTAGACCAGGGGTAGCAGGAGCAGGTGGGAAGTGGCTGATCCTAGCGACATGTGCTCTCCATGTAGACTGGATAGGATTTGCTGACAGTCAGACTTGGGGTACGAGAGAAAAAATGGGTCAAGGGTGACCCCATGTTTTTGGTGTGAGTAACCGGAAGTATGACTGCCTTTAATTGAGAAGGCAGTCTTTAAAGAGCAGTCCCTTAAGAATCTTCCTAAAATTCCTTCAGGGTCAGCAAGGAAGGGTCCATATCCCACCTTCATTTTACTAACAGGAAACTAGAGCACAGAGAACGGAGCCACTGTGTTAAGATCAGAAAGAAAAGTAGTGGCTGACGCCAACTAGATCACAGAGCTTATCGCGGATATTAAAAACAAAGAGTTGCGCAATATTTGACATGATAAAACATCACCTTCAAAAAAGATATGAATCACCAGTGGAGAGAAATGAAGACAATCTAATTTGAGGAAATTGACCCAAACAAACGAAATTTCCTGCAAGACTGCATCAAAACCATTTGCAATATGCCTTTTAGGGACACTGAAGATAAATTCTACGTGCTCGCTAATTTTGCTTAATATTCACTACCATTTCTTGGACCCTTACTGTGTACCAAGCAATAACTGGACTGATTCGGACTGACTGAATCACTAGATCCTCACAAACGACCCTAACGAGGTTGGTGGCACTATTTTTATCCTTGTTCTACAGATGAGGAATGAAAGGTAAAAAGAGGTTAAGCGACATGCTTAGGGTCATGCAGCTAATAAGCGGTACATCTGAGATTCAAATTCCGGCAGTTAATTCTGGAACCCACACCCTAGGGCAGCCCTGTGACTCCGGATGAATATGAACCCCCTTTAAGTTTGCTTCACCTGGTCGCCACTTCCCCCGTTCTGTAGCCCTCCCCCCAAATCTGGCGAGCAGGAGCTGTAAATAACTACATGTCACTGTTTAGTGCCATCAGCAGACTTAGGGTAATGGCTAAGAACTTCTCCATGCAAATCAGAACAGAGTCAGCAGAGGGGAACATGAGCACGATGGTCAAAGGTCTAGAAGCCCTTACATACAGGGAATGGTAGCTATCTTCAAAGATTTAAAAATCTTTCATAGAAAGGAAGATTAGAAATAAGATCGGGACGTTGGGTATAAATTATAATAAGTACAACTTAATTTGAGAAGGAACTTTGTGGCAGTCAGACCTCGACAGTGGAGCAGGTGTCTTGGGACCTAGCGAGGGTCTTGCTCAAGCAGAGACCAGGGGACAAATGGTCAAGCATGCTGCAGAGGGGAGGAGGCGGTGGCCTATGGTCTTGAAGGCCTCCTTCAATTATTAGATGACCAGTTGTGCAAATGTGCGGTCCAATGTCAGGTGTTGTTACTGTTTAATTCATTGTTCGATTTTCACATCATCTACAACATTTTCATCAGGATCAGACTATTGCTCTGGCCTGATGCCCTATGGTGACACTCCAGGAAATCTCAGGGGCAGGGATGGCACAGTTGGCGGGGGGCGGATCTTTGTAGGCAGAATGCCTATGTGTTTTGTGATGTCTGTCCTTCTTGCAGGATTTTTTGGGGTCACTGGAAATTGCCAGGAGGATAGAGAAATAATTCTTTTTGTATAAAACTTGGTTAGAACAAGAACGAGATCATGTTGACAGGAAACAGGGAGAAGTTTTAGGTAGCAAAAAGCAGGGCAATATCACCCGAGACAGCCAGTTCCCTCCCTACACTGAAAAATGGCTGGTGACCTTGTCCTGCTCTCAGATTCTTCTAGGACTCCTGGGAGATGATGGGGATGAACAGTAAAATCTCTCCAACCTTTATTTGTTTGGAAGAAAGCCTCTTTTTCTCTGGGGGCAGGGGCAACCTTGTCAAATGATGCATGCATTAATTCCCTGCGTCCTGGCTGGCCTGTTAGGACAGCACTATGCCTCGACCTTGAGTAGGAAGTGAGGAGACAGAAGGAGGTGACAAGTGTCTGGGGTGGCACAAAGCAGGGAGACTGCCTTGGCTCAGCTGCCAGGATCATGCTGTACACCCCCCATTCCCAGTACTGCAACAGACCCACCCAGTGGTCTAAACTCAACTGGAATATTCCAGAAATACCCACAGGGATTATGAAACTTGTCTGTTAGCACTTTCAATTGAATCTTTTCATATGGCATGTTGTAAGTGGAAGCATACTTAGCAATATCCTCTTACTATAATATACTGCCATGAGTATCTTTGTCAGATGATTAAAGCTCACGAGAGACACAAAAACTTACTGGTTGCCTAACAGGCACGGGGGTAGGCAGTGACGCTGACTGTCACTTGTCTTCAGGCAGCAGCTGTGCTTTAGTAGAAAAAGCTCTGAGCTTGCAGCAGGAAAACCCCAGCTTGACGGCTAGCCCATCAACTTACTACCTAGGGCAGCACTTTTAAAATATCTATGGGGAAGGAACAGTTCTTACTGTTTAGTTCTTTTAATTTTCAATCCATCACACATTGATGCTTTTGTAAAATACAATAAAAATGTGTGAACAATGGAACCTTTTTTAATTACAAGATTCAATAGACATGAAATTATTTTGTCAAATTGCTATAAAAGTATCCAAAAGCTTGTTCTCAATTTCTGCACCTACGTGGTTGCAGACGGGAGACAAGCAGTTTGGGGGCCACCCTTGAGTAGGTGGCCGTGGGGAACTTCCTCAGCCTCCGTGAGCTTCTCTGTTTACTCAGTGCGACGACTGAATAAGATGATCATGGTGACGACGATGATATGTATCCATGTGTAATAGATTAAAAGGTACCACTCATATTTCAATTATTGTTCTAATCAATAAAAAGAGTAGCTGAAAATGATGGCGAGAGGCCAAATTAATTTTTTTTTTTGCAGCAAGAATAGGTGTTAACACAAAGTAATCGAGTCAAAATTCCTAGTGACAACAACTTCTCTGTGAGTTGCTCATTTCCCAAACACAGAATTCTTAGCTGACAGGCAGGAGCAGAGAAAGACACTGAGGGTCAAGAAACCACAACCTGGAGCTCCTGCCTGTGTGTGCCTTGCCTTTGGCTCTCTAGAGATCTGCTGGGCCCTCCAGACTTCAATTTTCCCATCCGTAGGACACAGTGACCAGCAGTCACTACTCTGGGACGAGCATTCTGGGGCCCAGACACACCTTCAAACCAGATCAAAACAAACACTTTCTCCTTATAATGCCAGGGAATTCAGTGAAGCAACGTGACCTGGAGCCATAGTGGGAAATCCAGTCCCTTCGCAGACTGGCGGTGTCTGAATACACGCATGCGCACATGTGCACACGAACAAGAACCGGTTTGAGAGCTCAGAGGTCTCCCTAGGCAGTGGGGACTCAGGGTCCCTGTGCAGGCTGCCCTAGGGGTCTTCTCTGCAGGTCTCCCAGAGGAGCTGTCGGAGGAGATTTTGGTGAAAGAGGGGGCTGCAGCAGCGGCTGCCAAAGGTCAGAGGCTCACGCCCAGGTACCCGGGCTCCGGTGCTCTGCTCCCTCCGTCAGCAAGAGCAGGGTGAATCTCTCCACTGTTCCCAGCCCCTCTGTTTCCCTCCACCAGCCCACCAGCCCTCGTCTTTTCTCATTTTAAATTGTCTTTTGAATATCATAAAGATAATATACACAAAATTAAAAAGTAAGCAGTGTGGAAAGATATGAAATAAAATATAAAAGTATTTTCTCTTCATTTCTCTGCCCAAAGGGTGAGCTCTATTAATGATCACGTGTATATCCTTGCACAAAATGTTAATGTTTACAGAAACAGTATGTGCTAATGTGTGGGCGTGTGTATACACACACACACATATGTGTATGCAGCAGGTCCTTAAATAAGGCCATTTTGTTATAATGTTGATGAGAAAAAAACCTGCTTCCCGGCAGGGGCTGCTGTCTGTGTGGAGTTTGCAGGTTCTCCCCTTGTCTGCGTGAGTTTTCTCGGGTATTCCAGCTCCTTTCACAGCCCAAAGTTGCATGTATTGGGTGAACTGGCATGTCTACGAGGTCCCCATCTGAGGGTGTGTGAATGCACCCGGAGATGGGACGGTGTCCTGTCCAGGGCTGGTTCCCGCCTTGGTCCTGGGCTGCCGGGACAGGCTGCGGCCACCCACGACCCTGAGCTATAACAACTGGGTAAATAAGTATCTTCCTTGTTTTTATTAATCTTTCTTAAAAGTATATGTCACATTGATTCTAATTTTTAACATTAGAAGTGTTTTGGTCTTTATACGTTCAATGATGCTTTTATGATGAGAAACATGCTGTTGGAACTTCCCTCTTGTATGTATCAATTAGCCTATGGTCAAACTGGTTTCATTATATGTCGTTTTGTTAAAGTTGCGGTTTCCATAAACCAACTACTTTAAGCCAGGACTTACTGTTTATATATGAGCGCCGTCTGGAAAGTATCCAGCCATTGTTAATACAACTAGAACAGTCACGTGGCTGGATACTTTCTGGACAGCCTTGTATGTATACATGTATGTTATTTTTCTTTTTGATAAATGTGATTAATCTATAGTGTGTCAACTGGCAACATTACGATTTTCTCCCATGCTTTCTTTGACATTCGGTTTTCGGTCTGATTTCACTTTCAAACATTTTTTTCCCCCTACTGGGGGTAGGCCCTTGCTCACGTTCCTCGGTCGTGGTCTAAACGCCCAACGTCCCCTCCCCTGCCAACCCTTCCCCTGTCCCCCTCCCGACCCCGCCAGTACCTTTCCAGCCTCTGCATGGTCATGGCCAGCGTCTTGTTCAGCTCGTCTATCATCCTGCAGCCCGAGGGGTGCATGGGGAGGGAGCCGGTGCCGGAGGGGAGGTGCTGGCCGTGGCCGCCGTACTGCAGCTGGTGCTGGATCTGCGAGGGCAGCACGGTGTGGTGGTGCTGGGCCACGCTCTGCTGGCCGCTCTTCTGGGCTGCGTAGGACACCAGCGAGAGGTCTGGCCCCCCCACGGGCATACAGATCATGACTTTCTTTGGAGGTAGCGGAGGCGACAGTTTCACTGGCAGACAAGGCAATTTCACAGGGGCGCCAGGATCTGCAGCAGAAGGAGGGTGAGAGACGCATGTGAGATTGGGGGGCATCAGGAGAAACCCGGAACACCCCACGTGCCTACCTGGGGACCGTGGCCATTGAGGTGGGCCCCTTAGACAAATGCATCCACTGAGGACACCAGTGTGGCAAGCGCTACTCAGCAGGCAGCCACCAGCTCTCGTTTTCCGCTCAAGGGGCCCTCAGGAACCCAGGCGTCAGTGGCGTCTGTCCCACAAGCAGCCCAGGTGGTGCGGCAGTGGGAAGGGCGCGTGCGATGAACTCCTCTGCTCATAGAAACCCCCGGATCACCAGAGAAACCTCTTCTAGGATACGCCGTGCTACGGTTTGGATGCGGTTCGTCCCTGCCCAAACCCAAGCTGAAATTTAATTGCCAATGTAAGGACGTTGGGAGGTGGAGCTTTTAAGAGCTGGGGCCGAGTGGGAGACTTTCGGGTCGTGGGGGAGGACCCCTCATGAATAGATTAATGGCGGGCGAGTGAGTTCCTACTCTCACGGGAATGGATTAGCTCCTGAGAGAGCAGTTTATTAAAGAGTCTGGCTTCCTCAGTTTCCCTCTCTTGCTTCCTCTCTCACATGTGATCTCCACACACTTCAGCTCCCCTCCTGCTTCTGTCCGTGAGTGGGAGCAGCCTGCGGCCCTCACCAGAAGCCTAGCAGGTGTCGGCGCCATGGTTCTTGTACAGCCCGCAGAACCATGAGCCAAATCAACCTCTCCTCTGTATAAATTACCCAGCCTCAGAGATTCTGTTACAGCAGCACGAAATGCACTAGGACAGGCCACGATGCCGATGGTTTTGCCACTACGATGTGAACAGATCCTTTCAGCAGGCACCTCCCAACAGACATGGGATAAGAAGCCAGCCCTGCGTTCAAATCCACTAATTGCATGTCGCTTGGAAAGTGCCTTTGACGTTGCCAAACTTAATTCCCTCGTTGGTCCCCTGGTGACGATCATTCCACCTCGGAGGATGCTTTGTGAGGACTGGTTGTCGCACAGCCTGGCTCAGGTGCGAGCCTGGCTGCTGGGCTGGTGGGCCCACTCGCGTGCCAGCCACGCGGGCTGTTCAAACGCTAAGGAGGCTCCCACCTGGCACTCTGGGCTGCTGGGACCCACACAGAACCAACTCTTGGTTCCATGATAGTGCTGTTGAAGCTTCCCAGAGATACTCTACATTTAGAGGGGCTCAGGGTCAGACCCCCAGGGCATTTTTGGAAAGACTTTGCGGTTGGCTGTACTCCACATTCCTGGACTGCTGAGTTATCTAAACTGCCTGGTGTTTCTGCGCCCCCTGGCCTTTGCACGTGACTTTCCCTGTGTTGGAATATTCTTCTCTGCTTTGTCTTCTTCCTCAATTCCTCCTGGCCCTTCAACATCCAGCTCACAAACGACCTTCCCAAAAAGCCTTCCTTGATCATCGTATCACTCTTCCCACTCTGTACCGCAGACGGGCGTCCTGTCGGTGTTGACAGTGACAGCACTGATGACGATGAGTCGTCAGAACAGTCAAGACTCACATCGTGCTTACTACGTGCCAGGTATTGTTCCACGTGCTTTTCGTATCACAACACATTTAATTCTTCAACAAGCCTGAGGGAGGCGCCATTATTACCTCACGTTTACAGATGATGAAACAGAGACTCTGAAGACACTATGCTGCACTTCCTGTTTACATAACCGTCTCCTCTCCTGGACAACAGTGACCGTGTGTAACTTATCATTGCATCCTTAGCATCTTGTTCAGTGCCCGGCTCACACTGCGAGAGGCGCAAACCATGTATATGGGATGAGCTGAAGCTGAGATGATCTGTGGGATGAACTCACACCTTCCCCAGAAAAGGCTACTCTAGGAGGGAGATGTGCGCATACAGTGGTTTAGAGTTTTATGATCATGCTGCTGTGGGTGTGTGGACAGTAAACTGCTGATCTTACAGCTAAGATACAGAGAAATCTAATGATTTCAGGAGCCCTGATAAGACTGCTCCTCTAACATCAGAATGCACACCAGTCACAACCGCAAGGCTCTTGCATGTTCACCCCAAAGGCTCATCCTGTCCACTGTGATCCCCTGTGGACACGATGCAAGGTTACCATGTTCAGGAACTTAACAGGCAGTGCTAGCTAATTCCAAAGTGCTGAGATGCGGAAACTCAACACCGTCATCCTGTTCCCGTTACCGAAGGGTCTACTCCTGCGGCTCTCGGAAGCTGTAGTGCAAACCTAGCAGATGCAACGTGTCTGCAAGTGCTAAGGGTTTTCCTCCAGGGACCCTTCGCCCATGGCCCTTCATCTGCAGGTTCTGGTTCTCTGTATGAGGTAGGGAGATGCTCACTGGCTTGGTCAGGAGAAAGGAGAATCGGAAGGGCAGAGTGGAATTCTCTGCCTAGGGAGGGGCAGGGATCACGTTGAGTTCTGCCTGTCTTGTTAAGCGATAGCTTCCTGTGCTCAATCCACCTCAGTATTTCTTGTCACTACTTCCATAGCAAAACTTACTTGGTTTCATCACTGGAAAATCAGCCAAGTGGGTCCCAGGAATTCTATAAAAAGAGGCAAGGAAGAAACCACCAGCTGGACCAAGTAGCAGAGATGGTCACTCTTACGGTTCCAGAAAAGGCATGCTGGGGCCACGGGGAACATCCTCTTCCTGCCTGCCTGTATCTCTTTTCTGGTTGCTTCACTACACCTGGCTATAAATTAAATAAGGGCAGAGAACAAAAGTGAATCATGTAAAGTCATGTTTGGCTTGGTGGATTTGGTAGGAAATTGACAAAAAGGCTAAAATCAGGTGGACCTGTCTGCTTTCTGTGAATTAGCTGCGCTGTTCCTATCATTGCCAACATGGTGGATAGCTGAGGAGTGGCTGGGCAGCTCAGGTCTTTGTTCGTGTGGCAATGCCTATTTTTATATTTTTACGACATATTAATACCAGGTCATTCCAGAGCTGGAGGTGTGATGTGGAACCAGCTGTACACCGTGTATCATTCTCCATCCTTGTGTCTTCCTGTCCCTCTCAAACGTCTGAGTTCTCCGATCCCTTGCCCACTACACCAGCCTGGGACCTCTTCTCTTATCATGTGGATAATTGGGTCCCAGCCCTCTAACCCACCCCCACCCGGTGCCAGACATCTTCCTAAAGCACCCACTGGTCATGCTTGAGGTCCACGTTGGCTTCACACGCCAGTCCACACAAGTGCGACTCTCAGTCTTGGCTCCACCAGGAGCCTCCTACCCTAAATTTCCCCGGCTCACTAGTCTGGCCTCTGGGTTCCCAATATCCACATTCACTCCCTCTTCAGGGCCTCTGTTGTACCCACCTCCCCAAATGCCTTTCCCATTCCTGCCTGATGATTGACACTTCATTTGCCCTTCAAGGCACAACTGAAGACTCACTTTCTCCATGCAGCCTTTCCTTCCCGAACCCTTGCAACCCCGACAGTGAGTAGCCCCTTAACTTCTGCTCTGTTTCGTGCTGGTACCGCTGGCTCCATGTGTGTTAGCCTTGTCTTCCCAACTGGCTCCCGGACGGCTCCTCCTACGTGTGCCTCAGCAGTCCCCGCGGGTGCCCCGTGGGGAGCACAGGGAAGGCTCCGGACTTCAGGGCTGCGTGGTGATGGCGTGGGCTCACAGCCTCATGGTTCTCAAGCCTGGGATGGGGGTGCATCAGGATCACACCGATGCACACCCCAAACTTCCCCTTCTCAGGGATTCTAGGGTGGGGTCTGGTATTACAGTTCTAAAAAATCAGGGTTAAAAACTACTCTTGGCCTCTTACTCTTGTCCTTTTTTGTGAACAAAAGCGCACTGTTTCTTACAGTCCTTGGACCACCTACGACTTTGCCTGGTATTTGCTAAATGTTCGTATTCCCAGGCTTCACCTCTGACCTACTGAACAGGAATCTCTGGGCCAGGTATTTGATTTTAAAATGCTTCCTAGGCGCTTATTACACATAAGGAGCTGAGAGTCACTGACGCAGGGTGCTAAGATGCTTGGAGTAGGATGCTGCCCGAGGCTGGGATATCGCAAAACAATGTCCCGGGTCATCGGATAGTCTCCAGGTTCTATTTCTACTCCCCAAATGTGAAAAATGTAACAGATCAATTTGCTCTAAACTAATCTACTAAAGGCTAATTTGCCCAGAACCTATTCACCTAATGACTATCTGGTCTAAATTTAAAATATGCAATTAAAGGATATCTTTTAAACCGATTTGTCTAATGGTACTTCCAATTGAATTTTATAAAAATCATTTATCATTGAGCATTTTGCAAATGATAAGATGTCTTATATCCTTGTGGGTGGGTTTTTCTATTTTATTTGCTTTAGAATACTTTAACAAACAGAGAAACATTATGCCCAATACTCATTTCCGTTTAGTGAGGCTACTACATTTTTGTAGTAAGGATGACAAAGTGAGAAGAGTGGATAGGACTGTATTGAATGGCACCATTTATTTTTTCCAAGATGCCAACTTCTTAAAGCAGTGTTTCATCAAGCTCATTGATGCTCGGGAGAGGAGAATTCCTGGGCATCACCTTCACAATTCTGATTCGGTAGGTCTACATGGGGCTACCCAGCAGTCTGCTGGGTGAGGAAGCTCCCAGATCACTCTGATCTACACAGATGGAAACCACACTCGGTTCCACAAGTTACTATAGGGCTAAGAAGCACAAAATCATTTCTAAAATTTGTCAGACTAAAAGTATAAGAAAAATTATAAAATCAGGCACTCTTTCAGCTCTGTTAGCTTCAGCAAATTGCTGAGGTTCAGTTTTTCAATCTGTGAAATGGGGATGAAATAACATGTCATGGAACTATTGTGAAAATTGAATAAAGATAAAGTACATAAACTGCAAAGCATAGTGCCCGGTACTCATTTACTCAATGAATGGAAACTATAATTCTTGTTGCCGTCACCAGCCTCATTATTGAATTGTTTCCTTCAGGAAGCCCACCCTCCCTGGGGCTGGTTTAGGCGCCTGCCCAC